AGCCGGCAGATGATCCAGCAGTACGAGATGTACTGCAAGGACGGCAAGGTGAGCGCACCTGGGCACACCTGTGTGCCGTAACACACCTGTATTGTACATATGATACACCTGTATGGGGTTATTGACACACCTGTGCACACCTGTATGGGTCAGTGACACACCTGTGCACATTATAATGTATCACAACAGCCTGACAGGTGACCCAGCATTACAAAAAGGATCCTGAGGACGCCCAGGTATGCTCACCTGCCTCACCTGTCCCACCTGTGCGCGCCTGTATGGGGTCAGTGACACACCTGTAACACACCTGTATGGACTGTAATGTATCAGAACAGCCCGGCAGGTGACCCAGCATTACAAAAGGCATTCTGAGGACGCCCAGCTGCGCTCCCCTGTCTCACCTGTCTCACCTGTATGGGCTCAGTGACACACCTGTGCACATTCTAATGTATCAGAACAGCCCGGCAGGTGACCCACCATTACAAAAAGGATTCTGAGGACGCCCAGGTGCGCTCACCTGCCTCACCTGTCCCACCTGTCTCACCAGTAACACACCTGTATGGGCTCAATGACACACCTGCACATGTTTTAATGTATCAGAACAGCCCAGCAGGTGACCCAGCATTACAAAAAGGATCCTGAGGACGCCCAGGTGAGCTCACCTGCCTCACCAGTCTCACCTGTAGCACACCTGTATGGGCTCAGTGACACACCTGCACACACCTGTATGGGGTCAGTGACTCACCTGTACACACCTGCACACACCTGTATGGGGTCAGTGACTCACCTGTACACACCTGTACACACCTGTATGGGCTCAGTGACACACCTGCACACACCTGTATGGGGTCAGTGACTCACCTGTACACACCTGTGCACACCTGTATTCCCATTTTAATGCACCATAGCAGCCTGGCAGGTGACCCAGCATTACAAAAGGCATTCTGAGGACGCCCAGGTGCGCTCCCCTGCCTCACCTGTCCCACCTGTGCGCAGGGCCGGCTGATCCCGGGCGCGTACAAGTTCGACGCGCTGATCACGACGTTCGAGATGATCCTGAGCGAGTGCCCGGAGCTGCGCGAGGTGCCGTGGCGCTGCGCCGTCATCGACGAGGCGCACCGCCTCAAGAACCGCCACTGCAAGCTGCTCGACAGCCTCAAGCACATGGAGCTGGTGAGCGGCACCTGGGCACACCTGGGCACACCTGGGTAACACAGGAACACCGTACCTGGGGGTTTATGGGGGGTTTGGGACCGGGCACCGCCTCAAGAACCGCCACTGCAAGCTGCTCGACAGCCTCAAGCACATGGAGCTGGTGAGGGGCACCTGGGCACACCTGGGCACTCACCTGGGCACACCTGGGTAACACAGGAACACACCTGGGTACTGTACCTGGGGGGTTTGGGGTCGGGCACCGCCTCAAGAACCGCCACTGCAAGCTGCTCGACAGCCTCAAGCACATGGAGCTGGTGAGGGGCACACCTGGGCACACCTGGGCACACCTGGGCACTCACCTGAGGGGGTTACACACACACCTGGGTACCGTACCTGGGGGTTTATGGGGGGTTTGGGGTCGGGCACCGCCTCAAGAACCGCCACTGCAAGCTGCTCGACAGCCTCAAGCACATGGAGCTGGTGAGCGACACCTGGGCACACCTGGGCACTCACCTGAGGGGGTTACAGACACACCTGAGGGGGTTACAGACACACCTGAGGGGGTTACAGACACACCTGAGGGGGTTTGGGGTCAGGCACC